GGTCATAAAAGGCAATCAGGTTGGTCAGGCAGGACCTGCCTTTGATGAACCCATGCTGATTGCCCCTGAGCATGATCTCCCCTGCTGCCCCCCACAGATGTGCTCCTTGATGATTCTCTCCAAGATCTTCCCAAGCACTGAGATGAGGCTTACAGGCCTATAGTTACTTGGGTCCTCCTTCCTCCCCTTCTTGAAAATTTGGACCACATTAGCCAGTTTCCAATCCCCTGGCACCTGGCCAGATGACCATGAATGTTCATACAGTTGGGCCAAGGGCTCCGTGATGACCCCTGCCAGTTCCCTCAACACCCTTGGGTGGAAGGCATCTGGACCTGCAGATTTAAAAATGTCTAGCCCTTCCAGAAGATCCCTAACTACATCTATGCTAACATTTCATATTTGATTTCACATTTCAAATTCAAATTTGAAATGTGAATGAATGTGAACATCAGTCCTGATGATCCTCTTCCACTAGAACAGATCCATTGACATCACCAGAATTACTCCTAATTTACAATAGTAGTAAGGTCATGTTCACTCAACAAATTTTTGGATTTGTTGGATGGGTAAAATTTTCAACAAATTTTTGCTGACAAAACTACATTGGTTACGAGCATGAAGAAGAGAGATCTTTTGCTGGTATAGTTTACATCAGTGGTTTTCAACCCTTTTAGACTCAAGGCAGCCCTTGGAAAATTCTTAGAAAGCCTTACAGGAAGGCCAGAGTATACTTGATGGAATAAGAATCACAAAGGAACTGAGCTGTGCATCCAAAATTACAGAGTCCATCAAATCTTTAAGCCTTTGGAAAATTCCAGATCTTGCCTTTCACTTACTTTTGACTATGCAAAAGTAAGAAACCAATCTTGTGTTGCGAAGAACTCAGGAAGACTGCAACAGATCAGAATGTTTTTGATGTTATGGAATTCCTATTTGAATTTATGGTTTATCACGTGAATAACATAAGATCTTTTGGTTTATATTGTGAATCTTTCCACCTTGGTTGAGAATCACTGGCTTAACCATACTGCAAAAAGGTCCTAAAAAGTTATGATCCAGGTGCATCCAGGATCTGAGCATGGCCCCGAGATAATTATCACTGGACAGCATAGATCTGTTCTAAAACCAAAAACCTTCACTGGCCATGGCAGGAATGTCAATGTGTTTGCAAGATAAAGCTTTTGGAGGTGTGAGGCTCATTTTTTTAAGTACTCACCAAGGTTTACAAGGAAACCAATGTCAAGGAAACCAATGTTATGAAGGAACCATGTGAATAGGATTAACTCACTGCTTCATATCCTGCACTTGACATTCCATGTTCTCCTGTTGACTTCTCAGGATCTGGACCTCATACAACAATCTGCTGAGATCCTCTTGGCGCATCTTAGTTTCCTCACTTTTTACAACTGAGACCTGAGAAGAAAACATAAGACAGACATCAACAACATATGCACAGAGAGGTAAAAGCTTTGCAAGGGCTTCTAAACAGGACTCACATCTACAGCTAGGTTATTCAGTTGTAATAAATTAAAACAGTGGACACATTTTTAGGAGTATGAAGTGGCCTGTGGAACTGTGCTTAGGCAAATTGAATGAAAAGATAAGAGTGAAAACCATGAAAAATAAGAAGAGAAGAATCTAAGAGGAGTAGAGGAAATCCCATCAGCGGGCATGTTTTAAATACAATTTGACAGAAAGGATCAGTGCAGCACTAGCCTTGTGAAAATTAACTAGATGATTTAAAAAACCTTCTATTTCTCTAAGATTAAAGATTATAGTAAATGAGGTCTGCTAATGGCACAACCCTTGAAAGAAACTCCTTTCTACCACCTTGTGAGGACAGTAAGCCATCAGATGCACAACAACCCCCTAGAAGAGGAGGTGCAGCTGAAACTCAGTTCCTACCTTCCTTTTGATGTGTTCCAAGAGGTGTTCATGACCTTGTAGGAAATAAAGGTGCTGGAACTCTGTGTCATCACGTTCAGGCTTGACAAGGCCACCCTGCTCAATATTTACCACTTTCCTGAAGCCATCTAAATATAAACAGAACTGGTGAAAAACAGATAGATAGGACCAAACAGGAAGGAAAAAGGATCTCAGTGTGTAAATTAGTGCTCTGACCCCTATGTGTGTCCCCCCCCACACACACACACACTTACCCACTGATTCTTAAATGCAGTTGATATCCCTTCACTTCTGCCCGAGGGCTATCTTAGATTTTGTCAATATGCTGTGAAGAGCAAACCCTACATTGGTTACATAACATCCCAATAGTTCCTATCAAGCCTAATTTGTCTTGGCAAACATGACTTAAACCTCAGGATGGAAACAGTTTATGGCAGGGAAATCTCTACAGCCAGTTTAATCTGATGGAGGCCCTTATCCACTACAAATTTGCCCATGATCACTCATCTGTTCTACGTGGGTTACTGAACAGCTATCAGAGAAGAACAGCTTTGAAGCAGGGCTGACCTAGCCTGGCTATGAACTGCTGGACTTGAAGTGAAAGGCCCATGATCAGTTGCCCATTTTTACTTTCTAAATCTTTTAAGAAAAATTAAAATGTAATCAAAGACAAAATTCATCTCCAGACAGACAGTCAAACCCATGTGCTAAGCAGCACCATTCCCCCATGTGAGTTCTCCAAGCAGGTCTTAAATAAAGCATAGGCAGTGTGCTGGCCTTCTGCACAGGGTGAATGTTATCCTTTAAAAGCATTCATTTGGGGTATATTGTTATCCAAGAGATACTTTAGTGGAACAGATCATGTGTTCTGTAATCATTCAAGGCTTTTTTAGGAATGAGTCATGTGAAATGTTCAGTTGCTGTGGGTTTTTCAATACCAACATCAATACCTCCCCAATAATTAAGAAAGGATAGAATGTTATTTTAATTGAAGTTAATAAGAAATGCTAAATCAACACTAAATCTAGTTTTCTAAGCCCAGGAGCAATTTAATATTATCAAAGCCTTAAAAAAACAGTTCTTATAAAATAGCCTTGCTGATTTCTACTCTAAAAAGAGTTTGGGAGAGATTTTCAAAGGCACAAATCAGTATTATATGCCAATGACTTTCAGTGAGTGTTGGGCACCTAAATGGCCTCTGGGCCTTCTAAAAGCTGTCCTTTGGAGACTTTTCTGCACTTACCTGTACAACTAGATGGGTTTTTAAAACTAGATCTGAGATCCTTTGAGAGTGGCTTAACATACAAACTATGCCATTACATACTTACAATTCACAAAGAAAGGTGTACTGAGCACCTGGTCAATGGTCAATAAAAACTGATTTCTCAACAGAGATGACGTTCTAAGAAAAACTGATGGAAAATGGTCCTCAGTAGTGCCATGTCCCAAGCACCGGTGACAGCTGTTTCTTAAGATGCACTAATGGTAGAGGATCTGTCTCATACAAGTTTCAGTAAATTTCCATACAGAAAAATTTCCATATAGCAAGATTCATAAAAATAATGACTAAATTTATGTAATCAGATTTACTAAGCATAAGCAGAAGACTATGGAATGAAACTTCCTTAGCTTATAATATGTTATTTTAAATAACCTTTACGCATTCCTGTAAATATAGTACTAGGAAATCTCCTCTTTGTCTTCTGAAAACAAACCTTTCATGATCTATGCATTCCCCAGAACCTTTCAACCAGACTGCAGCCTTCTATTCTAATTGCTTATCCATATGGCACAAACTGTTCTCTTTACAAGGGAAGTTCTTCATTTTAGACACATAACTTCATTTTAGAAGCATACACCTGGCATCATCTTACTCATAGAATTAGAAGCTTATAGAATTATAAGCACTATACTTATAGAATTATAAACTTTTTGCAGCATAAATGCTACTTGCTACCATGAAAGGTAAGGCAAAAATATCAATGCAAAAGCAATCAACTTCTTTTATTATTTGTATATCACATGTTTTGAAGACCATGCTTGGGATTTGGCTTTTATATCTAAACTTATTTATTTTTATGTATATAATTTTATTCCTGTGGTTCCCACCAGACAAGTGATGTCTGCATGGCAGCACACTCTAGGACGGTGGCTTTCAACTTTCTTAGGCTCAAAACACCCTTTGTTAGACTCAAGGCACTGCTCAGAAAATGCCAGCTTAGTTTTTACTCATTTTTTTGACTATGGAAAAATAATAGAGAAATTCTTCTGTTGCAAAAAACTCAGAAAGTCCACAGCAGGTCAAAACGTTTTTAACATTATGGATTCCTATTTGAAATCTCTGGGTTTATCTTGTGAACCATGTGTGTACACCCAACAGTGCTAACACTACAGCATCCTGGCTGTGAAACACTGCTCTTTGAGCTAGAATTGTACTTACACATGTTCAGCTGTCGGACAAAACTGGCCATATTGTTGTGTTTGAAATATTTAGGCAGCACCTCTTTGGCAAACCGTCCTTGATCGAAAACATGGAAGCTGGTTCCATTCTATAGAAAAAAGAAAAGAAAATGATAGCGTGAAGTAATTCAGGAATCTCCACAAATGTCTTGAAGCCAAATTAATTTTGTGTTCGGGCCATAGCTGCCAAACCATAAAAACATCACCAGATGCAATGATGGCAATACCTAGATGGGTAGGCAGAACACAAGACTTCCACTTTGAGGCTAAGGTTTCCTTGGCTATTGTGACCTTATTGCTTTTCCATACAGCCATGAGTACTGCAGGGCAACACAAGAACTATGTGCATGTACAAACCAGAGGAGAAATCAGAGCATTCTAAAGAATAACATTTTACCTGCTCCTCAACAGGACTGATGGCTCTTCATGGGGACTGTGAACCTAACACAGGTCAAAAGGAAATCCAGAAGTGCTACAACAATGGAAGAGAGATATGCAGGCAAAGATGCATGTGTGAGTAAACAGAATACAGGGACCCAAGGCTTTTAGCCACAGGAGCCAAATAACTTGCAAGCAGTTCTAGCACTGGATAAGGAAATGGGACAGGGCACAAGGACCTCCAATAAACTGAATTGTCTATCATTTGGTAGGTGTGCTGCTCACCCGGTGCCACTCACTTGCACATTCTCAATGAATTTCATAACATTTGGTGCTTTCTTAAAACCTCAGGTCTTGGAGCCACATGACTATGGAGATCAAGACTTTTATTTCTGTAAACTAGTACCAGTAATTTCTTAGCTTTTCATGGTTGTGACAAAGTGCTTGAAAATGTCACTTGGGTGTCAGCTAAAGATTCACAAACTAGAAGACAAAATAAAGAACCTGAGAGAGCTATACACATGCTTTTTAAAACATTATGACTTGGAGGGGCTTGGCTAATGATTTCTGAATGCTAGGGGTTGCCAATGCTCCATGCCCTGGCCCAAGGGCATCTCCAGACTCCCAGTGTTTCCAGACCTGTGGAAAGGAAGCCTACAGCAGTACATATTACAGTGAAACTTTGCTGTAACTCCACCAACCCAGAACCTTTACTGCATACTTTTGAACATCAGTTCCTAGCACCTGCCTGTTTACTATTTACACATACACGGAAGATGCAACAACTCCACTAGCTCTGCAGGCAACACCTACATAACTACCAAAAGCTACTCAAGCCTGTTCAGGGGTAGGATCTGTGATTCTTTCCACTAATTGCTAAACTTGGGGAACGTAACATAGGGTGGAAACCAACATTGTCTAACGTCTCACTTGTGCTGCCATAATATTTTTTAGGGCAGTACAAATGCAAATAGACATCATTACCCTTTTTTATGCTACATGGAAGGAAAATCAGTGGTGCAACAAAAGGTGGCAATATAGACTCTGCTGCTTTATTGTGATGGACATCTATTACCTCTGTGGCATTTTCCTCACTCAGTTAAATTCATGCCCCAGGTCTGGCTGAATGAAGAATGTCAGGAAATCACATTGCCCCTTGTCCTCCACCATCAAGGGTGGTGCAAAGGGTGGCATGCATTTCACCCAGTGATCCAAATCAGCTGTACCATGACACGTTTCAGCACAGTTGACTTGCTTAATTCAGCTACATGTACTTCTAGGCAGTGTCAGAAAGAAAGGCTGTGTGAGTGGGTCATTCCTCAGGTGAGTGATGGTTTTAGGAAGACTGAATGAGTCATGTGGCCCAAAACAGTCTTCACCCGGTGGCTGCAAATATATTTATGTTGCCATAATTGCACTAATTGCTTAATTGCTTTGATTGTGATGGTACCATCTCTGCTGCAATCCTGAAGTCACCACTGAGAAACAAGCTTCATGCACCTGCTCTTGCACCACAAGCATCACAGGCTGGAAAAATGCTCTGTGATAATTGTTAGAGCAGTGCTGAGCACAACCACCATGTCTCTGAGTGAAATCCCTAGGGTGTGCCCAGGCATGCTCCAAAAAGCAACCACTCAGCATCTTTCCAGCAAGTGCAGCAGGAGCATGTGGGCAGGGCCTGCTTTTCAGCACTGGTCTCAGGATGGCCACAGAGACAATAGTGACTTTTTTTTTTTTTGTAAAAATATATTTCTCTCTCTATATATAGTGATATATATCTAACTGATCCTGTTATAGAAAAAAAAAAACCCTGCTCCTGCGCACCCGTACAAAGGCCCGCTGGCCACCTGTACCCATTACAATGTCTGCAAACCGCACACAAAACACACAAAATACACCCAGTTCTTTCTGGTCTCTCCAACCAGCCCTCCTTTCATGTCTACTCGTGCCCTGTTTCTGGGGTCAGGTATTCAGCTCAGCTGGTCTCTTTGTCATTGTCATTCCAGCTTCCACTGGAGGACCCGCTGCTGCTGCTGTTGTCGCTGTCCTCCGTTCCACTTGTCTCGTCCTCTTCTCCGCTGCCGTCGCTCTCCTCTTTCCTTGGCAGGGGTTGTATGGTTCTGTGCCATGTGTCCCTGTGCCAGATGGTGTTCGCTGAGTCTTCTCCATCCTCTGCTACCAATTTCTGATGGTAGGTCCAGAGTTCGCTCAGCACCATCTTCACACAGCCCACTACCTCTACATCTGTTTGTCTGTAGAGGAGCTGGCTCCTGGCCTTCCACACGGTGCTCCTGACACAGGATGCAAACTGGTCAGATTGGAGCGAGGGGCTCCCCTGGTTTTTGGTGAGGTGCCTGTACAGCGCAGCCTTGCTGGTTAGCCAGCTGACGCCAGTCACTGCTTCACAAAGCTGCTATACCCTCTTCCATACCTCCTTGGTGCAGATGCAGAGACACAGGAGGTGTTCTATTGTCTTGGTGGCCCCGTGGCAGTTGGGCCACAGGCAGCTGGGTCTCCCCAACTGCCCCTCTCTGCATCTCCGGGCCCTTACCGGAAGAGCTCGGTCAGCTATAAGCCAATTTAGGTCCCTGTGATCTTTGTGCAGTTCCTTGCGGTGGATGCACTCCCACATGGCTTGGCATCCACCTCCTGGGAGCAGGTCCATGGGTGACATGGTGTCTCTTTTCCTCACCATCTCTTGGATTTTCTTGTGGCTTTCCATGGTTGCTGGGCCCACATTCTGCAGGCCGTACAATAGTGACATACACTTTGTATCTGCTATCACTGTAGCTGCTGCACATGGACTGAAAACCTGCCTGAGAACCTGGTGGTCATCCCATACTGACCACTGTCCTGCCATGGCTACACTGCTAGTAGTACCTGAGCCAATCATTTTAAAGCCAGCTCTTTTGTACCTACATGAGCTGTAGTCACAGAAGTGCACGCACCCTTGGACAAAACCAAAGAGCTGGTATGTGACAGAGAAAGCAGAACATAATCTCCCTTCTGTTGTTTGAGAGAACACAAATAACTTCTGGCACTGAGCAATGTTGGTGGAAGAGTGGAGTTCATGTCCTGATAACAATTACAGTATATAGCTAACAAGCCCTAAACTGCTGTGATAAGCCTACACCCTTCCTGTGCACTAAGCTTTCTGGCCCAGTCTGAAAGTAGCTAGCACCCCATTAATCATCAATGGGAATAATTCAAAACAGTAACACAGGGTACCTCCTTGCAGAGCCTGAAGTTAGGCTGTTTTTGAAGTCGCCAGTGGCAGCCACAGTGACAGGGGCAGATTCTTAGAGTGCAAACTGTTGTAGCTTCATTAAAGTCAACAGAATAATGATGAGCTCACTGACACCTGCAAAGGATCTGCTTCTTGCTGTCCATGGGCATCTAGTCCATTTGATCTGCTTCCTGTTGTCTGTCAATCTCTGTCTCTCTTTTTCATCAGAGCCCCTTGTTTGAGGATACTGGAAAGATTCTGTAAAGGTTTTTAGGGTAAATAGGTCTTGAACAAGGTTCTTTTCTTCCCACTTGAGCGGAAAAGATAGGAGTCCTTTTTTGTAGTGAAGTTATTGGCAGGTTCTGTTAACCCCTCCTTCCCTGGATGGGGGGAAATTTCCAAGGTCTCTATTTTGTTTGTCTACCTAGCACATATTCCCACCTTTTGCTCAGCACTACATTTTTGACTTGTCTGATCACTTATTGACAGAATCATTGCAAGTATGAGCTCACATGACATTGGGAAGCTGGGAGAAAGAGATTGTGAGGGGGTATGCAAGTCTCCTGCAGAAATATTACACTGATTGATGAACTATAAACACCATCACTCTCTAATGAAGGGACAGTGCTAATTCTGCTGCAGGAGTAGCTTTCCACAACTGTTGCTTAATGAGCCATGCAAATTCTAATTGGCATGGTTTACCATCCAGGGATTTGCAATTTGCATTTCAATAGGGCACAAAGGTCAGTGGGTGATGTTGGCTATGCAACTGTTTTGTGTTGTCAAGATTGATGGCATCCAAGTAATGCAAGATGGGGGTATTTCCATATCTTTGCTGGGTTTCCAAACTCCATGTGAAATGCTTTCCTAGGTCAATCTCTTAATGACTAACCATAACAAATGTTGGCTGGAGGTACTCAGGATACTGTTCACTAAAACCTTAGATAAATAAAATCCAGCCCTATGTTATTAAGGGGCAGAAGAAATTGAGATTCATTTATAACTAGACCAATGTACTATCGTTTAGAAGAACCAGCTATCTTAAAACTATGGAAACATGAATTAATGCACATGCATTTTTTCAGGAATATTTTTGGATTCATTTAAATCTTATGCTGCAGTGATCAGAGGGGTGTCTGTCAGATTCTGGAAGAAAGGAAACCCAAGGATTTCAGGCTAGTTTTCAAAGTTTGTGTGGAATATTTACCAAAAATTATGAATTCAAGAGAGATTACCATGGCTTTGCCAGTAGTGTCAGGCTGCAGACCTGCATCTCTGATAGTGTTCCACTTCTGACTCATCCCACGATATTTGTTTAGGAGTCTGTAAAGTAGATTTTACCTGAACCTTTACTCCAGCCAGGGCAAATATATTTTTTCCTTATTTCTTCAAGCTTCCAAATTCTAGTTGATATCAGAGAAACAAACACAAAAACAATGGAGAAACCTGTTCCCCACTCCCCAGCAGCTTTTTTCATAAACTCCCCCCCACCCGCCCCCAACTTCTTTTCTTTTGGTTTTTGGTTTTGCAAATGAAAGAAGTCCAGATAGTTCTGATCCATAGCTGAGGTCTTCAGCAGCCTTTATGATCATTCAGTTTTGTAAACAACTGTAATATCCTTAATATTTGTAGTACAGCCCTTTTCTTCCAAGCTTTTTCCTTTGCCTCAGAATGGAAATGGAGATGGAGAAATGGTATTGCCTACTGTGATTCACTGAACCTTTTCCAGTGAATCAGTGGCAGATGTATAGCTCTTTCCTTCTCTGGCACTATGCACAAACTCATTAGTCCTCACAATGGCCCTCTGAGGTGGATTAAGATCTTGTGCCAGTTCCACAGGTGGGGATTCTGAGGTACAGAAAGGTTAAATGACTTTTTCATGGGCATACCAGGCTGTCTCTCAGCTATGAACAGACTTGTGTTGGAGACACATTTCTTCTCCAAGCTCTTTACACTACACTTGTGAGTGCCACATGGTTCACCCTCTAATACTGAAGAGACTGCAGGATTTTGTTTGGAGTCATAACTGGCACCTCCAAACTTCACACTTTTTGTTTAGTTCTGCTTTGATTATACTGCAAGATAATATTGAGACACCAGTGACATCCATACAAGGTAGCTGGGGAAAGCTAAAAGCATAGAACCCATAATCCTCCATGGTGCTGAGTTCAGCATCACCATTCATGTTGTCATGTGGGTTATATTTTTTGCAACCGACGATATTTTTAGTGGAGGAGATTATTATTTTGTAGAAGTTAGTTTTGGACCTTTTCCTCTTCATACAGGCACCGTATGGGCTCAGCTGGGTCCTAGAATAGCCATGTTTACTGAATATACACAAAAAGATTAGGCAAGGCAGCATACTATTGCTCTCCCTAGTTTCTGGCACCTTCTAAAGCACAGAACATAGTCAGCACCACTGGATGACTCACAAACTATTTAAAAGGATACTACTGTATTTCTAGATGCAATATATTGCTATTGAAGAATGCACATAAGCAAACCCTACTACTCCTGTCATTTTTATTATGAGTCCCTTGCTGCTGTTGCTGATCTCTACATCTGAAGGGGCTTGACTTCTTCTCTGCCCACTTTGGAGTTAACTCATAATTCAAGCTGATCCAATGCTGTATGCTCATAAACATTTGATCAAATTCTGACTAAGTGTCTGATTCAATGGATTTGTTCCACTGTTAATCCACTACTAGCAAACATTTTCACAAATGGTTTTTTGGTTCAGACAAATGTTTGGGGAATGTCTGTTCTTTTTATGAAAGCAAGGACATTAGTTTATGGAAAAGTGTGTTTGGCATTTTTCATCCTCATTTCCCCAACCATCCAGTTAAGAAGCATAAGAAATACCGTGTGACTTGAGTCATATGTCTGGAACAACAGATTGCAAGCTCTGAAAAGGAACAATTCACTTATAATCCTGTATGCTAAACATTATTCAGATATAAACATCTCAGTCAACACTTAGGAAGTATTAGAAGGATTGGTTAACCTAATTAAAAGCTGAAATTTAGATTTACTTTATTCATGCCACTGGGTGCGCTCTGTTCAAAATGCTCCTTACAGCTCTAGCCCTAGACATGGTTGTGTTACTACAGATTCCTCAGGTAGATGTCAAAGTAGGATACAGTGGGGGCTTAGCTACATAAGGCAGCCAGGAAAGCTAAAGCAACCAAAGAAAGATGTGGAGTCAATGTACCTTAGTTGAAGGACATTAAACCACCTCCACAGGCAATCCTGTTACAGTTTAAAGGCACATTAGTATGTTCGCTAAAGCAAACTCAGGCTGCTGTATGAATGAAAGGATCCACACAGAACTTTAAAAGCCCTTAATTAAGGCACATTGATTTCATTTCATTAATTCACCTTAACTTTTCTGAGTTCCTCTCTCTAGATACAGCTTGATTATGCTATAAAGAAGTGTGGAGAAATAAAAAATAATAGTTGACCAAATGCAAGAAAATCTAGCAAATTACAAACTTGAAAGGGAAAAGGGATTATTTTTAGAAAATATAATCCTCCCTGTTCTGGAAGTTCTCTCTGCATTTGCACTATATGCAAACCCAGTGATTCAATAAAGGGCCTGGGGAAGACCTGTAATACCAGCTCCACATGGCATTTCATAAATCAAACAACAGTGTGTCTAGCATATCATCCCATGCATTCTGAATGGAAACAGCACTGAATAATACCTACATACATGACAAAAAAGCTAGACCAAAATACATTAAAAAAAGACAAAACCAAATGTTTATTATAGATAAAGTTTTTTTGGAAAGCAAGTTTACAAACACATCACATTTGGTAATTCACTGCTGAAGGTATTAATGCTATTATTTGCAGCAACTATTAATCAAGTCAGGTGTGCAGTGAGGTTTCAAAATGATACATGAAAAGTAAGCACATTAGTCCTCTGATTGCACATAGCATTTTAAAGCCCAAAATGAAAAACAATAAGAAATCATTGTAAACCCTCTCCCCCCAAAAACTACAACAAATAAAACCCAAGAAAATCAAAAAACCTAAACTAACAATACATATATGTCACTTGGATCACTGCAGGAACTAGTTCAAGTGTCTAGGGTCCCCCAGTGTGACTAGTGACTTTAGGTGCTAACTGCAGACTCCTGCAAGTGAATAGTTAAAGATCTGGGGATTAGATACCCTTCAAAGTACTTCAAAGAGACATACCCAGAAACAATGCATAACTCCACAGTTAGTGCCTTGGAGTATCTTGATCTCTCTAGCTTACAAAAATATACCATTACATAGATCCATAAAGTCTCTCTAAAGAACTACAGTCTTTTTCAGTAAATCAACTAGTGCTTGCAAGGTGCTCTGCAAATGTAAAGTGCTAGATGAACACTGTGGAATGGTCTGTCTTTTCAGTGTCTTGGAGATGTTTGTGCCCTGCTGTTCCATGTAATGTAACTAACAAGCTGTATTAGCTGTACTTACAGTACTCCAGCAGATGAGATGGTTTGTTTCAGGATCTTCCACCAGTGTCCACAGTTTAGTTAGGAATGCTGGCACGTTACTGGAATATCCATCCATTGTCAGGGAATTAGCTGAATCTTGCATAGTTTTTTAAGTCTTTGGTTACACAAACTCCATATCTTTTAATGCACCCGTCTCTCTGTGTGCGTGTTAGAGGGACAAAGAGCCCTTGAGCTTTATCCAGGTCAGGTTGAGAACAGGCCCCCCGTGAATCACATCAGCAGCACGGCTCACACACTTAAAAACTCAACACAATGCATGCCATGGCATCACCAGCCACAGAGAACAATGCCCAAAATGAAAATGCACTGCAGTGGATCTCACAGGGCTGTGAATAAACATGCAGTGTCATGCAAAGAGAACACGTGCTTTACGCCTTCAGCTGGGAAGGTAGCAAATTATAGGAATGAACTAGGAAAACACCTGCTGGTCTACTTACAGGATGCTAGGAAGCACAGAGACCAGATTGTGAAGGCGCTGAATTTAAACATCATTTCACTGCTTACTTGTCCTAAGCACAAGCAACCACAGATAGGCAAAATCAGGACTGGTTTTAAAGACTGCAAAACTACTTTGGTCTGGATGTGGATCTCATCATACCTGCACTCAGAGAAATTCAGATAAATAGCTTTAGACCTGGAAGAAGTATGGGATGATGAAAATAGACATTTGAGAAACATTGAGTGATCGTCATAGGCGACTCCATTCTGAGAGGTACAGAGGGTCCCATCTGTCGCCAGGACCCCTCGACACATGAGGTCTACTGCCTGCCCAGAGCAAAGATTTAGGATGTGACAGGGGTGATCCAGGCCATTACCTGGCCCACTGATTACTACTCCATGGTCCTTATCCATGTGGGCACTAATGATGCAGCCAGGAAAAGCCCTGATCACCTGATGATGGACTACCACGCTCTGGGGGGCATGCTGAAGGAGATAGGGGCACAGGTGGTATTCTCTTCTGTCCTACCAGTGAGCGGACATGGAAGACGACACGAGACCTGCATCAGAGAGGTCAACTTGAGGCTTCGGAAATGGTGTCCTGAGGCGGGCTTCTGCTTCTTAGACAA